TTATCTTTTTTTTTTTTCAAGCTGTAAATTGGTTTATATTTGATAGTTTATATTTTTATAATTATGTTTATTTTATTTGGTATGTTAATTTTAATCTATTGTCTTTAAGTTTATTTACTAATGAACTTCTTTTTCTTTTTATTATTTTTACAGTGAATTGTTGTAGTTCATGATGTACAAAAACAACTGATGCATCTTAGCCTAATAGGCGTTCATCTTAGTTCGATCCTCAGCATCAAACACATGAGGATGCTACACCTGATATAGTTCTTGAGATTGTTGTTGAGACTACTACTGATACTGCTTTACATAGCTCTAGCAATCCAAATGATATAGTGCTGGCACCCCATCGAAGAAAGGGACGGGGAAGGGCAAAACCAATGAAAATGCTAGCAGATGGTAGTAAGATTCCATCAATGCTTGATGATGGGGGTAATATCCCGCAAAATATTAGGTGGGAAATTGTGGTGCAGTTAAAGGAAAATCTTCCAAATGCTTACATTGCATGGGGATTTGTTCCAGAAGAGCATTGTGATCTTTATTGGAATTAGTTCTACCTATGGCCCATCGTTTAAATTATTCTATTTAATTTCCAAATAGGCCTAATAACTTTTAAATTATTTATTTATTTAATTTTAAAATATATTTGTAATTATTTCTAATACATTTTCATTTTTTTTTCTTGGCAAAAATTTCAATAGGAACTAGAGATTCATGAAAGGGTAAAAGCATTGTGGGATCATATATGTAGTATCAAATTCAAGCATGCATTAAATGAGCTGAAAACCAACTATGTAGTAGATAATTTTAAAGTGAAGCCTCCAAACATGAATCCCAAACTCTTTCAAAAGCTTGTTCATATATAGACCGAGGTAATTAAGTAAACTATTGTGTTAACATTTTGAAATATTATTCTATTGCTAGCGAATTAAACCTAAAAAGTTTAGACAAAAACTAAAGAAAGATTAACAAAAGTAGCCAAAGTAACAAAAGAACAGAAAAAAAAATGGAAAAGATAAAGAAATTAGCAATAGCAATGCTTAATTATTTTAATATCATATTAAATTATTTTCATCAATTGTTTTAGGATGAAAATCATATTAGATGGTCCAATGCTGCGAAGGCAAATCAAGCTAAAGGCCCAAAGGTCACACATACTAGTGATTCTATGGATGTTACTACATATAGGAGGAAAATGGAATAGTAGTTAATTGTGTTTTTGGAAGTTTATTAGCAATATTTTATATTATTATATATTTATCTTGAAATTTATAAATTTTTCCATTACAGCAAAATGCAGATCCATTGGGTCGTCCACCCTCATTCCCAGAGATGTACACAAATAGGAGGCAACATCAATCAAAAGGAAAAGAACAGCTACCAACATATTGTAATGATGAGGCCAGAGAAATTAGCATAAGTATTTAACAATACTAGATATAAAACTTTATCTTTTATCTATTTATGGGATATAGATGAGAAAATGTTACTATGGTGCTTGGTAAATTTATCCATTTATTTTGGAATTATCCTTATTTTTTCAAGAAAAATGGTAAGGAAAAAAATGGATGATTGGAAATATTTGATAAAAAATGTTATAGTTATAATATTATATGAGATTATAAATTTATAATTTTACATAATATTATAAATATAATATTATTATTATGCTTGGTAAATTTATCCATTTATTTTGGAATTATCCTTATTTTTTCAAGAAAAATGGTAAGGAAAAAAATGGATGATTGGAAATATTTGATAAA